GTGTCAGAGTGGGAACGCGTTTGCTTTGGAACTACAAACAGTCTCTCTGTCTCTCACAAGTACAGCTGGAATGCAGGAAACCCAGAAGCTGGCAGGCGACTGCACTACTTTCATAATGTATTTTGGAAAGAAGATGGAGAGACAAAGCAAAAGACAAAAAGAGAGAAGAAATGGAAGGTCGAAGAACACAGCTGAATGAGGATGAATACATTTGTGCTTGCTTTCCTTATTTCATCGTTCAGGCTCTGACTGCACTCTTTATGAAGCGTGCTTTTCGCCAACTGTGTGCTCTCTCACACAAACAGAATTCAACTGCCCAATCACACTGGGTATTGGAAAGAAAAGAGGTCAGCTCATTCTGCAGTGAATTGAATTGAACTGAACTGTCATGACTAGGGTGTTGTAAAGCTCAGTGAAAGGCACAAGCCTCTGTTCAGAGTGCAGGCGTGCCTATAGACATGATTTCCCCTGTGTTTTTATTCATCAGATACTTCTGAGAAGGAGCAGTCCCTGGCTTCTACCTCTACAGTGTTTTTATGAAAGGCTCGCTGTCCTCAGGCACACATTTAGATGAAAAACAAAAATACTAAAGGAAAAAACAGGATGTCTGTGGATTCATGAGATACGAATACAGATTTTCTGAGTGCGAGATTCCAAAATCTTTGCTTGAATGCGTGAAAACACATTGTGGATACAGACACACGCACACGCACATGCACACGCACATGCACACCCACACCCACACACACACACACACACTCATATGTCCCTCGGGGGCCATTTGTAATTCTTCAGCCGTGGAGCAGATTGAAGCAAGAGAGGAGAATGACAATGAGGAGATGAAAGACATGAGGGCCAGAGAGAACATGGCGCTTCCGACAGGATGAAGATTTTCATAGCTGCAAAATCATCATATGACATCCAGTTTAAGCTTGCCCATTCAAATGTACCCCACACTGTGGTGGAGAGAGCTAAACATTGCCATATGAGGACACAACCGCTCAGATTCTGGCTTTCTTGTTATTTTGCCCCTCAAAATCATACAATGCGCCAGATCACTCTCTTACAACGACAGCAGAATAAAGCCATGTCCATTCATGTCCATGCGCTAACTCTCCTTCCATCTCCCCCTCCTCTTCTCCATGACACCTTGACTTGACAGTCTTGTGTTGTGACCTGAGTCAGATTTACTGCAGTGTCTGACACTTTTGCACACAGACATCCCAGATGCCTCTCAAAGCTCACACACACTTCATCAGACTGCAGTAAAAGCTTTTTATTACCTAAAAGATGAAGGAGAAGACATTTAGGTTTTTTAGTTTCAGCTCAGTTCTCTTTAACAGCTCAATAAAACACACTAAACATTACCTTGACATGTACATTTTCTTAAGTAAAGGAACATAATTATTGCTGGCAAAATACAGTCAATTGCCAATTTATTAGACACACCCAGCTCAAACCAGTGCCGTCTAATACAACAGTCCGGCTTCAAAATGATCTTACAGTTAAAGGTGCAGTGTGTAATATTTACGTCTATTTACACATAACCCATAAAACATTTAAAATGTTAAACATTTCCTTATTTGGTATTTCTTTTTATATTTTGTTGTGGCAAAAGGAAGGGTTACCACTTCAGCACGTTTCTCCAAATTGGGTTTAAGAAATTCAAAAGAAAAGAGAAAAAAAAGGGATAAAATGCAATTATTGTTTTTATACATACAAAATAACAACAGCCCAAAGGTTAAAATGTCTCCAAGCCTGTTTATCGTCTAATCTGTAAACATCTGAACACATGTTAAAGCTTTGACCCACCCTCAGACTCCTAAATCTGCACCCTCTCTCTCCTCTGCCTCACTCCTCAGGCTGCGGGTCAGACTCGGGACCATCGTAGCCCAGCTCGTTGGCAATGGGGAAGTGAGCCCAGAAGGTGCGAGCCAGGTCCTGCATCCCCTCGTGAGCAGCCTGAGCCCGCAGCTCCTCCAACCACCCGAAAAAGTCTGACGACCACAGGCCCCAGTAGGGTGGGCTTCGTTTCTGCCTCTCCTCCCTCCTGCCGGCTGCATCACTCTCCTCTGCTCCTGTCAGAGGAGACAGACACAGAAAGAGGTGTGAAATAATGTTCACACCTCGCCCATCATGTCAAAATGACTGTATGTTACGATGTCAGAGTCCGTTCATGTGTAATGCCCTGAGCTGCTGACACACCTGTAGGATGCAGGAAGCCGAGTAGAAGGGAGCAGAGCAGCACAGACGCACTCAGAGCACGCATGTTCAACCGTAAGACAGGACACAAAGGGCTTGACCTGATGAAAGCATAAAAACAGGATGTAAAATATAATACTTTCAGAAAAAAAACATGCAGGCTACAACATAACTAAAACGTATCTATGAGGAAGAAAAAAAGCTTCCATGTGTGTCAAGACCATCGAATATCATCTTCTGTCTTTTCTCACCTGATCAGCAGGAGGTTGTGCTCGTGCTCCTGTCCCTCGTCCTCCTCTCTCAGACTGATTTCAGGATGACGACTGTGCCTCGATTAGAAGTAGACAGGAAGGCGGACATGTTTGTCTTTCACATTTTGCCTCTTTACACCTGCCTGTCTCCAAAGCACGTCAGCGAGGCTCTTTCACACCTCTCTTGTCCATTGGCTTTGTGGAGAGGAATATAACCTTTCTAATGTAAAAACAAAAATGTCCTAATGTGTCATTAAAATGTCTTTAGGCAATGGAGTGTGAAATAAATGAGTGGTCACATCTGGATCCCTCCACTCGTCCTGACTAATTATTTTTACTACAGTATATATTTAACTATGTTTTCGTCACTCACAGCCATCAAGGGCTCAGCAGGAGATTTTTTGCCTTTGGCTGTTTGGACTAATATGGATTTGTTTTTTCTTAAGGTGAAAAGAGGGGAGAAAATCAGGGGGAAGAGTGGAAACGTGGCTGAGAAGAAGAATGTCCCAGATAGTTTTCACACCTGGTATCCAGACAGACTGTACCAACATTCAGCCACAAGGTGTAAAGGTAGTTATTTTTTCTGATTTCCATCCATCTATCTCTTCTGTGGGTGTTTGTTTCTCTCTGAGGACATCGGCAGAGGGAGGAGGACTTTGACTGAATCCATGCTGTGTCCATCTAGTGTCAGAGGAAGAGTTGCAGTGCTTTGTCAAACCTCACAGACTGGGTTAGTGTCAGCTTCTACACATATTTTTCTAGTTTTCAACAAATACTGAAAGTACTGTTCCAACCGTGCACTCAACCCAAAACCCATTCTTTCTCACAGAAAAAAATCTTTCAAAATGTCTCATTAATGTATATTTAGATTTTTTTTAAAGGTAAATAGATTCCTAAAATAGCTGGGCGCTGTAGTTGTTTTAGCAAATGTTAGTCAAACAGGAGTAAATGGTGCATTTGTTGGAGACTTTTTTAAGCCACAGATTAATGCAGTTTATTTTTTTAACCTTTATTCATCCAGGAAAGTCTCCGTGTACAATGATGCAAACGTATGATAACACATTGTCATGTTTAGGAATGAAAAAGGGGGGAGGGGTGAGGGACGAGGGACAAAAAGGTTTTCTGTTGCCTGAGGGCAACGGTAACGATAATTGTAAATAACACGACTGTATCCATCCATTAATCCATATTCCTGACAACCTTTTAAATCATGCAGAGATTTTGGGACAATGTTAAAACCAAGTTGAAGCTGTGTGAGAACTGTAGAATATTTAAGTCATCGTGAAAGTGGGCATATGCATTAGGCAGGTTTTGGTGCTCTGGTGAATTTTTACAGCAGCAGGACATCCAGTGCATCAGTGTGGCTCATTGATGTGATTTGAATTGTTCTGGACAACAATGGAGGTATATGGCATTTGACATATATGGAGCAAAGCCTGCGAGCTAGTTCAGGCAGTCAACACTGATGTACACACATGACATGACACACTCCATAATCACTAACCAAGCGCACCCTTACAATCTGGTTGTCTATTTAAACTGCACAATTTCCCAGCTCTCCTACTGCTCTGTCAATGCCGCTGTTGC